TTCTGATTTTTATTGAATATTAATTTTATAATTTAAATTCTTATTAAAAATCTAATTCTAAATGCATATATGTATTTTGTAAGATAAGAAAAAGGAATTGTAATCCACGATTTTAATTTAATTCTTGATCTTTTAAAAATTCCAAATATTTGGGCTAATTATATTTTTATTTATTATTTCGACCATGTTCATTACTTTTATTTTCCATTCCTTGTCACTTATTAAGATTTATTTTGGTTGTTAATAATTATATCTGATATTCTTTGGTTGCTGAAATGAAAATATCTAGATAGATGAGATTTGATCATAATTTGATTTCTGTATTTATTGTATTTATTTTATTTACTGTATTCACATATATAGTTTAATATCTAAAGTATAGTATTTGTTACATTTTCTTCTAATGTAATAAAAATATAACATTAAATGTATTTTATTATAATTTTATTTTTTTAATTATTATTATAATGATGAAAAGGAAAATCATATTTAAAACATAAGTATTAATTAATTTAAATACTGTATATTATGATTATATAATTTCAGATTAATAATTTCATATGACTATTCTAATAAAATCTTTTATGAATATCTTTTATTATGAAAAAATGTTAATTTTATGTTTTATATATTTTTATAAAAATATTTTTCTAATTGTTATAAAAAATAAGAATAATTAATAAATTAATAAAAATAAAAATAACAATATTATTTTGTTAATAGTTAGTAGATATGATTATGTACTTATTAATATCTCTTGAACACATTCAAGATCCAATTATTAATTTTCATTGACAATCCTACCTCACCGTGATATCACTTGACAACTCTCAAGTTTGTTAAAAAGATTTTCTCACTACAATTAACTTAAGCAACTAACTCTTTCAAAATAGCTAATGATATAGCAATTCTCACTAAACCTATTAGTATAACTGGAAAATATCTCAATATCATTTTTACAGTTGAAGAAACTATACCTGTACCAAATCCTTCCTATTGTTCTTAGATTAGATCTAAGGTTTTGTATAATAAAGATATTAATTATTATATTCTTTAAAGTCATTTTAAGTTATCACAAACTCTTAACATATTTTGACATAACCTATCTTAAAGATTCTATACCAAAGGAGAACTTATAGCATCATATACTCAATGTAAATTTACATTCATTTGATTTTTAATATATATATATTTGAGAAAACAATCTTAAAATTTGAGTTATTCCATTTTATTCAATAAATATAATAGGTAGTTACACGTACTCCAATAAATGTCAACTTTGTATTTCATACTATAATTTTATTCTAGATGAAAATGTAATTTAATAGAAGAACTTATTTAATAAAATGAATATTTCCAATTTATTGAATATTTATATATATGCATATTTATGATATCTATCTTGATCTTATTAAAATTGGATAATGAAAACAATGTTATTTATAATTGTTTTAATTTTTTTTTGTTTCATGTTTAATTTTAGTTTATTTAATTTAATTTTCTTCAAATTCTTTTTAAGTTTTGATACAATATAAATGTAAAAAACATCATCAAACAATTAATACAAAATTATTTTCGAAAAAATTATCTGATGAATATTGTTATTTATTAGTTTACTTATTCATTTTTAGTTTATTTATACATGTATCTAACTGTTCATATGTTTATTCTCTATACTATACTAAATAGAATGATTGTATTTGATTGCTATATTTTTCTATGTGTGATAATTAACTTCAAAATGAAACAGAAGAACATAAATAATAACATAAACAAATATAAAAATATATATTTAAATTGTTATAATTGGTAAATAAAGGCAATCATTTTTTTAATTATTTTTTGAACAAATGCAATATACAATAACCAAATTATAACATACTAAATGAATAGTTATTATGATATTATATATAAGACATATAAGGGACTTGATAAAAAAAACAAATTTTACATATTATGAAAATGATTATAAAGATTTAAACTTGATTATTAGTCATCTCCTTCTTCTGACCATATCACAGAACTAGTGCGAGAGGAAGTATAATATTTCATCCCAAAAATATCTATAAAATAGAAAAAAAATAGAAAAAATACATTAGTTTTTATCTTTTATTTAATAATATAAAATAATTTAATTATTAATTATAAATATTTAACATACTTTGAATAATTCAGCTATATCTAACAGAGGAACTTTTTCAAAAATCATTTCTGGATCTATGTCCTGTTGCACAACGAGTATATTGTATAATTTATCCAGTCTGCACCAATCAGTTGAGTTTTCATTGGATAGTTTTCTGGATCTAAATAGTCTTCCAAGATCTCATTGGATTGATTTTAACTTTCAAGTTCCAAATATGATGCCAAGACATCTTCAGAAATTTTATTTTCAGGAACCAAGTAATTTTTCAAGATATCTTCAGATTTATATTTATCTTCAGGTTTCAAATATGAAGCTAAGATATCTTTAGATGTTTCATTTTTGGAATTCAAGATATCTTGAGAGTCGCATATATTTTCAGAAGATACCTTGACATCTAAAGAATCTTTTGAATACTTGTAAGATAAATATCAGTTGAGATTTTATTGAAATTATTTGATATAATATCTTTACAATTAATTGTAGAACAATTATCTTGCAAGATTATTTTCAGGATTCCAATGCATATAACTAATGCTGAAATTGAAATTACATTTTTACAAAAAGTACTGATATTGGTTAAAAGGATAATAAAATATTGTAAGATTGCAATAAGTGTTAATAAGTAAAGTGAATTTTGAGGCATTGTAAAATGTTTAAAATTTTGATAATTTACAAAGAAAAAAAAATCTCCTACCTTTTTATATATGAATTTTTCAAATAATTTATTATGAAAAAAAGAAAAGTTTGATTAGATATTTTCTCAGCTTACTTATTTTGCACATGAAACCTTAAACATCTCTTATCCAATTACTTAAAAAGGATACAGTCATATGTATTGTCGTGGTCTGCACAGAACAAGTGAAAAGTTAAGCCAATTAGTCTCAATAAATTTAGGTCAATCACACAATAATTAAATGTATTACTAACACACTATCTCTTGTACACAATATCACAGCAAGACAGGTAATCAGTTAATCTAAACCTGCTTACTAA